ACAGCCATCTATCAGCAAGTTCAGGGAGCAAAAGATGTGGATTGAGCCCTTTGTTTTGCTTCTCCTTTTGCCTCCAGTAAGTCTCAACTATGCAGTGTCAGCTGGTGAATGATGGTGCCATACACATTGGTAGTGATATGCCCAGTGTCTAAAAAATAGGGGAACAAATTAGGCTCATTTGAGGATATCAATCATAGATGTTTGAAGTGGTTATTAAAATCATTATCATACAAAGGAACAAATGTAAGAGCCAATTCAGATGTTAACCTTTAGTAGAGTGAGATCTGCTGTAGCATTGACCCTTCTGGTCTCCAAATAATCCAGTATCAGATCTCTGAGGCCACCTTGGAAAAGTCTATACTTCAGCTTCTTATGCCAGCATTGCTCCACTTCAGTAATGACATAGAAAGAAGCTGTACTGTGAGCTGTCTGGTGATACTGGAAACTTGAGATGCTTTCAAGGACAACCAGAAAGAATCACAGTGTCCTGCTAAAGGTAATGCGGGCAGGAGCCCTAAAAAGCTTCTTTTTGAAGAGGCATCCTAGTTTGCTAGTCCTATGAACTTCATTAAAAATGACACTACTGAAGAGACTTAGGTCTCTAGCCCTAGAACTGCAACTTGTAATTTATTGGCTATGCATCCAGTAGCATAAAGGCGTAGTATTACCCAGCAGACAGCTGGTGGAATCCAATTCCCTCATTTGCTATGGAGACCTTAAACACAGACTTCTGGGAAGTTCTATTGAATTCATCTGGGTTTTTCATACAGCTCTCATAGGCTTCCATTGGGCTTATGCAGGAACTTTTCCTAGAAGACTGTGCTCCTTAACATTTAAAGACTTACTATTGTGATAGTGCTCATGTTGGATTTACTGGATCGAGTTTAAGGAAAAGAGTGTTTGGAGGAGAATGGTAACCTAGACTTTTGAAATGCTGCTAAAATTTTGATACATGACCTTTCTTGGTACACTGTTGTGATCCTTTTTTCATTGGTCATTCATTCTAAATTTATAATAAAATCATAAATTGCCCTAGAACTGCTTTCTTGTTGAGTTTTTTTTTTAAAGCCACAGTTCTGTTTCTAAAATTTACCATCAGCTCAATTGCAGACACTTTCTTAACACAAAGCATTCCTTTGCATTTGTTATAAGCCTTTTATTTATTCTCCCTCTGTGTGAGCTTTTGTTTAGAATTTGGTAACAATGGGTGGGGTATGCACATACATGCACCCACACTCCCTGTCCAAGCCCAAATAAAGCCAAGCTCTGTGTAAAGCAAACAAAACCATCCATTTATTTCTGTTGGAACTGTTTGTCCCAGGATGTAGCTCTCCTTCTGAATTACCACAGCCCTCTTTTGGTGACAGTCCTGTAATGGACATCTCATACAACAGGATGCAAATAGATGTGTGTGTGTGACACCAGAGAATCATATTCATGCACTCCTGTCAGAAACATTCTTGGTCAAGGGAAGGCCAAGGAAAGATCTTACCCACCCACTCATTTTATTCAAGACATACCCATAATTGCTTTCAAATTTTTAAAAAGAATGTTTTATTAAAAGTAAAATAAACCACAAGATACACAAAAACAATACAGCAAGAATCACACCAACATTCTCTTGTATCAGATTGATTGATTGTAACCCAGATTGATTACTATATTTAACAATTTGTAAGTAAATCTTTACCTAAATTACTGTGTGAAGCAGGTGGGCGATACTGTCTGCTGTTACTGTTAGAATAATTGGTAAGTGGGGTCAGTATTACCTAGAATAATTTATGCAGTTGATCTTTTTTTCTTTTTGCACATACATGGTTGATTTTCAAAATGAGCCTGATATAAGCCTACAGGTATTTGTCAGACTAGCTGTCATTAAAACATTCCTTTTCTTTTAATTTACTGGCCTGTTTACTTTTTTGTTCTTTGGGAGTTCTCTTTCCTGCTGCATGCCCTGGTTCTGAGTGGGATGCTTTAGAAAGGACACCAAGGCAAGGCTCCCTTGTGTTGCCAAGGGAAGGAAAATCAACTCTGTCAGCCTGTTTTCCAATGTCTTATTTGCTTCACAGAAGCTCGGCCTGTAGCCATCCTATGCTAGTGTTATCACACTGGCATAGTGCCCCTAGAGAATACCTTCTAGCCCAGGTATGTTGGCTCTGTCTTAAGCAAGATGGTAGGTAGGGGGCTAGATGGGTGGGCAAACAGCCAACATAGTGTAGTGGTTGAACATTGGACCAGGGTTTGAGTCCCCGTTCGGCCATAGAAACCCACCGGGTGACCTTGAGCAAGTCACACTTTCATTTCAGAGGAAGGCAAAGTCAAATCCCTTAAGAACAAATCTTGCCAAAACAATCCATGATAGGCTCATCTTAGTGTCACCAAAAGTTGGAAACTTGGAAGGCACACAACAAGAAGATGGGTGACCTGACCCTCTACTGTCTGATCTCTTTACCTGTTAATCAGAAATGAAACATTGTGCTAAGTTCAGCTTGCCATTTATCTGCAGAAGCAACTGAATAATTATAGCCTAATGATAGAATCATAGTAAGGCTTTTCTTAATCTCATGCCTGGGTGTCACTGCAAAGCTGAGAGCTTCAGGCATCTGTTGACACCACTGGATTTAAAGGCACAAATCTCTCCCTGAGCTACAGGAACAGCTGCCTTGTTTGAAACAAGCAGATGGTGTGTAACAGGAGATTCTGGGGGGAAATAGCCAAAGGGTTGATGTTTCTAAACAATGCAGTGGCTCCTAAAGTTACAATCCTGACTAACAAGCAACAATGAGTAGTCTTGTTATGGGACACTTTGGGGAATTATTTTAGTACATACAAAATTAAGAACAAAGCTCCAGCTCACCGAGAGCTTAACTTTGGCAGATGCCACAGCTAAAAATAAGATGCTGCATCATGATCTAAAATAATATAATATTACCAGCATGTGTGCACTCTATGCCCCCTTCATGGGATTGTGGGGTCACTGTGTTTCTAAATTTAGATGCTCCCAGAGTTTATACAAGTGTGAACTTTGTTTGGACTCTGAAAGACTTACCCTTTATGTGAAAATATGAAAACAGAGAGCAGGTTCCAGTTCTATTAAGGATGTGAGTTGAGCAAAAAATACTTGTTGTATAGTCAAGATTGCTGCTGCTATAAAGGGAGCTAAGACTGGTATAACTTGCTGGGGTTGTGTATTCCCTTATAGCAATATCTGTAGCACTTAAGTAAGTGTAGAAAAAGAAGAGAAGTAGCATAGCAAGAGCAGACACTCCCACGGCATTCCTAGCAATCCCATCACCACCCATGAATTGTAACAGTCGTTCACAGACAATGCTCTTATATTACCCATGTACAAAAGGCACCAGTAACATGAAGTGATGGGACAAATTCTACAATAGGAGTCTCGCAATAACACTGCTGTTCTATAGGAACCCTTCCTATATACAGGATGGCTCAAGAAATTTTGTGGCTTGAGGTAACCCACCTGGTCAAGTTCATTGTATCAAAAGCCAGCTAAACTATTTTGATACTTGGAGGCAGAATATCCCTCAAGTATTTATCCCCATCTTTAACAGCAAAGATACAGTACATTATAATAATTTGCTGTTCTTTCATGATACCCCACATCTGCCACCCAAGGTAGCTGCCTCACTCTTAGTGGTAGCTGTCTCACTTTAAACAGTTGTAAACTGCTTAGACACTGCATAGCGGGGTATGAAGTGGTATATAAATGAAGCTGCTTTGCTTTGCTTTGCTTTAAACTGCCTCACCCTTAAACTGGAGAGATAGATTTGAGTTCTGTGGCAATAATGCTTTGTTGTCGTGTGCCTTCAAGTCATTTCCGACTTACAGTGTCCCTAAGGTGAACCTTTCACAAGATTTTTTAAAATTAATTTTTTATTTAATTTTTGTTATGGGGGGGGGGAAGAGACATTGTAGTAGATTACATGACATCAACGATACACAGAAGAAACTTCAACAAAGAACAATTAACAATGGTACAAGACATAGTTTTGTCAACTGAGTACTAGAGAATATTTAAATAAATGCTGAAGTGTCATCAATGGAAGGGAATTCAAGACACAATATATCTTTCCATAGGTCCATTTGAGCAGCTGGAGGTTGCAGTCGCTGCGAATGATTGTTAATATATTCAATAAATTTTGACCAGTCATCATAGAATGTGTCTTTTCTTTTGTGTCTGTTACAGTTGTATAGGACAGTTTTTCCATTATCCAAGAGTCCCACACACTTTTCCACCAGTTATTTATTGTTAGATACCCTAATTTCCAACATCTAGCTATTTCTAGACATGCTGCTATGAGGCAAAAAGCAATTTTCCCTCTCACAGC